TGCATATTTTATGATTGGCTTTTCTCAAATATTAAAATGAATATTATATGTGTTATGTTAGAAAGTAATGCTGTATTAATTCTCTTAAGTAGTGTGTGAAATGTAGTTTCAGGTTATAACATAATGTTGAAATAGAAACTATGCTATGTAGGGTACTTTTTTAAAGAAAGGATTGGAATGAGATAGCAGCCACAGGACACCTAAATCTTTCAGAGAAAGAGAATTTATTGCTCCATTATCAGAAGAAATTAACTTCTTCCTGCCTTGCTCAGCCCTGGAGATGCCGTCAGGATTCAGAGGAAGAAGCTGTCCAGACAGAATCCTGTGCTTGAATGGAATTTATGCATCATGGATGAGGTGTATGAATATGCAAAAGGCTGTTGTTTTTAAGGGTTAATCCTTTGTTAATGTGGGTCCCTTTTCGGGCTTATTTTGCCCAGAAATAGGTACCTGGACTGTCCATAACTCTTTGTTTTTATTGTCTCATATTGTCCTAATCCAAATTGTCCGAATTTTTATTACTCTAATTATATCACTATTTTTATAACCATTTTATTATCATTAAACTTTTAAAAAATTAAAAATAAGTGATTGGCATTTTTCACACTGAGCCTGTTGAATCAGCTGCTGCATAAACATGCAGAAGAAATCCCATTGTACTCCTGCTCTGTCATTTGACCTTTCAGAACACTTTAAAGACAATTTCATGCCCCAGAGAGGACTCAGAGCTGGTGTCTCACACAGGGACCTGCCTGTCCCTCCCTGTCCCTCCCCTCCTCCTCCCACCCCAGCCAACTCAACAAAGTCCACACAAGGTTTGCCACAGGCCACAGGCAAAGCAAATCAGTGTTGAACCAGGCAACTCCACAGAAAAACAGATATATTTTTAAAGGAATATTCCTAAGGCAGAAACTGCCTGTGTTTCTCGCCTGCTCAGTTCTTTAATTTCTCAACATCTTGGTGAAACAGAGGAAGGAGCTCTTCCCTTAGGTGCTCCCAAGGCTGCTGGGCTCAACCTCTACACTGAATAATCTTCCAGTCCAAAGTGATCCCCAGCATCTCCTGGTTTTGTACTTTTTGGGATTTGTTGGGTATTGTCCTGATTTAAAATCAGAATAATTCTTTTGAAACTACTAAAATAATAATTAACGTGATTTTCCAGCAGCCCAACCTGAGTCACACCATTCCACTGTTACCCTTCTGAGCTTCAGTTAAATAATTCATGTCAGCTTCCTCACACTTCAGGAATATCTGTACAAACCACCTGGAAATCGCCACATTGGGATAACCTGGGTGAGGCAAAGAGCTGGGCACTGAGCAAAGGGCACATCCACAGCCTGGCCCAGAGAGATCAATACAAACTTAATTCAGGAATTATCCAAGGAAAGACCATACATCTACCTCCTAAACAGAGCCTGAACTGCCACTATAAATTTTTAAAACTCTCGTTTTTATAAAGTATTTATAAATATTTCTGCTGGGAACAACAGGAGCAAAGAGAGCTGTGACCCAGGAATGTGGGAACCCAGCACATCCCTCCGGCTGTCCAGGACGGCCAGGACCCTGCCAGGGGGCTCAGAGACCCTGGCACAGAGCACAAGATGCACCTGTGGGTTTGACTATGACCTATGGAGCAAATTACCAACCTTAGATGAAGATCAGCAAGCCACAACAGTTTAGGCAGAATAATAGTGAAGTTATCACAGGGTGGAAAAGTAGATTTTGGGGGTTTTGGTATGGGGGCTCAGGAGGCAAGATGGAGGGAATTGGGCATGTCCAGCCTTTCTCCTTCTTCTTCTTGGCCTCCATCTTCTGCTGTGATGGTGGCACTTACAGATTGGAAGCTCACTGTCTAATGTAGGTGATAGGTATTGGGAAGTAATTGTAAACATTGTACATGTAGTTTTTAGTATAAAGACATAACACTGCCCTGGGGCAGGCAGAGTGCCTGGAACTGTCCTGCTGGATGGACCTTGTCAGGGCAGGAGAAAGAATTTTATAGATAAGATACAATAAACAACCTTGAGATGGAGAAATGAAGAGTTCTGACTCCTTCTTCCATCCCTGGGCTGGGAAAAGAGACTTTCTAACCTTTCTCAGGGTCACTCTGACCAGCTGGAGACCCTGGCACAGGAATGGCCAAGTCACACTGGAATCTGTACAGGATCAGGAGCTGTTTGTTCCCACGTGGCCCCACAGGGAATTTCTGCCCCTGCTGCCCCCAAAATGCAGGTGAAGGGCTGCACAGGGAGCTCAGCCCGAGGGAATCCCCCATGGCTGTGGAGCTGTGCCTGCCCCACAAGCTCAGAGTGAGACCTCAGCCCTTAGCACAATTCAAGGGCACAGAATTCCTTCTCTGCTGCCCACAGAACACAGCCAGAAGGGCTCAGTGCATCCCAACCCCCAGCAGGAGGGCAGGCACTGCCCTGATGTGCCAGCCCTGACTTCACCCCATGGCACCCAGCCTGGGGCAGGAGGGTCCTTGGGGACATTGGTGTCCCAGCTGAGCAGCCACTGACCCCAGCAAAGCCCTTAAACACACAGAGAATGTTNTCTTCCCTCATCCTCAGACCCCTGTGAACACAGTCACACTCACAGTGCTGACTGCCATCAATAATCTGAATGCAGACAGATTCCACGTGCAGAGCAGTGTCAGGACATCCCTTCACACTGGGTAAACACTCAGGGGGGAGATAAACACCACAGTCCAGGTGTAATTCTTAGAACCACACTGGAAAGGCTGTGGGAACAGCAGGAATCCCTGCAGCTCGTAGAGCCTCTCCCTCAGAGCTGTGGGAGCTCTGCTGGGGCTGGCACCCAGGGGTTAGAGCTGAGCTTAGGGATAGAAACTGCTCCAGAATTCAGGCTTAATCAGCAGGGCCCTGTTGTATTGCACTAGTTTATCTAGTTATTGTTTTGCACTAGGTGATTGGAAATTTGTACTGAGTATGTTATATCACTAGATTGTTATTTCCCCTCTCCCATCACACGGTCTTTCCCTCATGCACCCCTCTGCTGTGTCCCCTGGTGGTCTCGTCCCTGGTTACCCCTCCCCTTGCCCCTCCCCAATGGTATCCCATTGGCTGCAGTCCTCTTTCCCCGCCCCCATCCCCTCAGGTATAAAAGTCCACTGCAAGGATGTCACGCCCTCTTTTACATCTGGGTGGTCACCGGAGCCAGAAGTGTCCATTCCCAAGCCAATAAACAGGACACTCGTCCCCACGTGGAGCAGAGTGCTTCTTGTTTTTTACTTTGTAAGATCGTGTGGTCCAGAGTCCAGAGCTAGCCAGACTGGTCTCATACAATGGCCCAAGACACACGGAATTCTTACAGGTGGCGCCCAACATGGGGCACAAATGGAATTCTTACAGGTGGCGCCCAACGTGGAGCACAAACTGAATTCTTACAGGTGGCGCCCGATGTGGGGCACAAATGGAATTCTTACAGGGGCCCTCAGGGGCAGGCTGTACCTCCAGGGGCAGGTTCCAGGCGATGTAGACGTGCCACTTGTAGTCGTCCATCCAGACCTCAGCCACGCGCAGCGCGTTGCGCTTGGTGTAGAAGCCGATGTTGTTGTTGTAGGGCTTCTTCTTGCGCTCGATGTGCGCCACCCTGGAGCAGGGCAGCACCTCCATGCTGCCCCCGCACAGCCACACCTGCAACACAGCCACCACAGACCCTCAGCACAGGCACTCAGGTGTCCTGGTTTAGGGCAAATTTGGGAGAAAATGTCCAAAGGGGCCCCTCCAGAAAGCAAACCCACACAGCCCCTCCCCACACCCAGGTTGGGAAGGATTCCTTGGAGAGAAGTGGAAAGAACCTTTTATTTAACAGGCACAGCACACCCCAGCACACAAAATTAACAATATCGGATGTCAGAACCCAGGACATCCCTCTGGCAACCCTGGAGGACTCGAGACCCTGCCAAGGAGCTCAGAAACCTTGGCACAGATCCCGAGACCCTTGTGCCTTTGACCTTGACCCATGGAAAAATTGTCAAGCTTTATATGAAGAATTACAAGTCAAGAGAGTTTAAGTAGAATAATAGTTTATCACAGGGTAAAAAAATAGATTTTTTGGGGTTTTTAGAATAGGAGTTCAGGGGGCAAGATGGAGGAATCTGGGCATGTCCAGCCTTTCTCCTTCTTCTTCTTGGTCTCCATTTTCTGCTGTGATGGTGACACTTCTGGATTGGTTTAGAGTAGAAGCTCACTGTCTAACATAGGTGATAGGTATTGGGAAGTTATAGTAAATATTGTACACGTAGTTTTTAGTATAAAAAGATAACACGGCCTTTGAGGAGGCCAGTGTACCTCAACCCGACCTGCTGGACAGACTTGTAGTGGGTTGGAGAAAGAATGGTATAGATAAAAAACAATAAACAATCTAGAGAATGAGAACAGAAGAATCCTGACTCCTTCATTGACAGCTGGGCTGGGAAAAAGAAGCTTGTACATATCTCAGAGTCACTCTGAGCAGCAGAGATTCTGAGAACAACACTCTGTCACTGCTCTGACAAAGATGACAAAATCAGAAAGTCTCTCTTGGGGGTGGTCGCTCTGTTCTCAGTCCCTCCTGTGCTGGGGCAGCTGCTGCAGTCACAAGGTGCAAACTCTCGGTGTTCCCAGGTCCCAGTAGATCCAAAAAAAGGGAAAGGAAAAACAGTCCAGGGAAAATTCAGACTGCTTAGCTAAACTAGCTAATGAGCAGAAGCAAAAAAGCAGGAGCAAAGCAGAAGCAAGAGCAAAAACAAAAGCAGCACCATGTACTGCCCTGTCTGTGTGTTCCGCCAGCCGTGGGGGAGCGACTGATAGCAAAACTGTGAAAAGTGCATATTAGATGGCTCCACATAGATATTTACTGTATGTAATTTTTTGTATTGGTTAGTAGTGCTGTATTAACATTTTAATAGTATGGTAAATGTAGTTTTGTAGTTAAAAGGTAACTTTT